GGGTGATGGGGCGGGGATGGGGATAAAAACCATACCCGCTATGGGTGATGGGGCGGGGGTGGATTTTAGGTTGTACCCGCCTCACCCGCCCCACTTCGTACCCGCCCTATTCCCGCCTACCCCACTTCGTATCCGCCCCATCCCCTCATCCATATATTTTTAAAAACAAAATTATATACTTTTATACTAATTTATAAAAAAAAAATATGTAAAATAAAATAGTAAATATAATACTTTGTAATACACTTATATTATAAACAAAAAAATGTGTAATATTAACAATAATTCTTTTCTTTTTTGCAATCTTTATTAATTATGAAGGATTGTGTATTTGGGAGGCGGGGATTAGACGGGTCTTAGGTGGGGATTAGGTGGGAGTGGATATCCAAGTGGGGGTTGGGGCGGGGATGGTTTTGGAATTGTTCCCGCCGGGGCGGGGATGGGGATGAATTTTAGACCCGCCGTGGGGATGGGGATGAAAATTTTAGATGGGGATGGGGATGGGAAGGCCAACATCCGCCCCGCCCCGCCCCATTGACATCCCTAATTTTATCAAAAGATACCACAAGGGTTTAAAGCTAGTAGTTTTAACAAAATAACCGTACGTCCATACATAAGATATGTCTCAAATTAACCGCTAAATTAAATTTAATTTACAAAAGATGAAAAGTATAAATTTTTTGCCAAATTAACCGCCAAAAAATTACCAAAATGTATAAATGGTGTCAAGGTATTTTACAAAATTACAAGTTTTGAATAAAAAAATCCAGTTTTTTATTACTACTTAATTAATGGAGTAAGCTTGTCGGGTTTGAGTTGATGGGTTGTCGTTCAACCCATTTATATAATTGGGTTATGCGTGACGGTTTCGAGTTGAAAATTTCAACCCAAACCTAACCCATTTAATTTCGTGTCGTGTTCGTGTCGACCCAATTATGTAAATGGGTCGAGAATTCTTGACCCAAACTTGCTAATTTCGTGTTGGGTTATCGTGTCGTGTCAACTTTTGACAGCCCTACTCGTATCCTATGTGTTCCATGCTACCAACTTCAATACTTTGATCATAAAAGCATTACGAAGTTTTAAGCTAATGCTTGGGCTAGGGGTGGCAATTCGGGTCAGCAGATCAGGTTTGGGTCAGATTTCGGGTCGATTTCGGGTTGTACTTAGAAACTATCGAAATAGTGTAAAACTAAATATTTTTACGAAATATGAAATTTAGGTCAAATTGGGTCAAATTCAGGTTGTTCGGGTTCGGGTTTCTCTCGGTAACTTCGGGTCGAGTTATCGGGTCGGGTCAAGGATTGCCAACCCTAGCTTGGGCGCCAAAGCTCCCTCATCTTTTGTACTTTGTATTTCATATCATATCACTAATAAATAAAGCCGATCTCGCAGCCAGGCTATGAGACAGCGATACTTGGCATTCCACTTTTTCACCAAGTGGCGCGCCATGTAGGAGATAAATAGGTATTATTGTGACACATATGGTGCTAAGTAAGCGCTTTTTGGATAGATTTTTTAAGATAAAATTGTTGCATAGAGTTTTATTATCGATAAAATTCTAATATTCCATATATACAAAATTAATTATAATTTTTAATAAATATACTATAACTCAATTCTATTTCCATCATCAAATTCGTTTTAAAAAGTAGGTGTCACCAAAAGAGTCAAAAGAAACAGAGTTTTACCCACTCACACTTATATAATTTTTTTTCTTCTTTTGCATCCCTTACTTTTTCATAAATTATTAACTCACTATCTTTTTTTTCTTTTTATCATTTTTTAATTCTCCAACAAACCCCACTTACACAATACGAGTAGTATTTTAACAAATTCGACTCTGTCAACTGCATAAAATTTTGTGTTGATAAAAGTGTTGCAATTAAAAAAACGAAAAAAGTATATATGGTTTTCATGTTTATAATAGCGAGGTTATATAGACAGTTTTAAAAAATTGACCCAAAAATTCAAAATATAAAGAACAAAAAGGAACGAAGACCGAAGATATAGTGCATTAGCTACTCCATTTCAGTTGCATTAGTTATAGACTAGTGCGTTAGCACAAGCTACACAACCTAGCTAGTTAGGTAGATGCACATTATGAAGACTGAAGATCGATGATGGGGTGGCTTGGGCGTCGTCAATGTTGAAAGTCAGTCCAAAACTCCAAATATATATGCGGATATGCTTGTGTATTCTACGAGTATTCTATTAACCCATTGCAATGTCGTAATGTTACTGCTACCAGCCGTATAGGGTGTGTCGGGACTTGGGCAGTTGGCCGTATATATTACGAATCACATTTATTTCAAATATTTTGGGCTAGAAGTGTCCATTCTGGTCAACTTTGGTCATCAGTTGGGTTCGCATTAGATCTAGTTGGATCGGATCATTTTGAATTTTGATCATGTTGAATCATTATATTCATGCAAACTAAATTTTTTATCAAGTCCTTTTTTTTGGTGAAAATCAAGTCACTTTGATTTAGGTTAGTTTTTTCAAATCAAATTTGTTTTTAGATGTTGAGAAAGTCAAATATTAAGGAGCAATATTTTTTTCACCTGATAAGAACAACTGCATATTTTGACAACGATTAATATTGTATAGGAATTTGTATACGAACGTAAACCCTAAATATGTAGTTTGTCACTATATGATGAATTGGATCCTGAAATACAAGATTTTGTGGTTTTGTGATATTTTAACTCTTTTATATCTAACGAGTATATCATATTTTCGTAGTACTACTAGTTTATATTCTCATGCACTTGTAATTAGATCGAATTGAAGAGGTGGACATGATTGAGATGAAATGGGCATCAATTTAGCTCAAAGGAGGTTCGTTCCTTGTGATTTTCCTAAAAAAAAATTGAAAAAGGAGATTCATGTGGATAATCAGAAATTTCATGGTTTTAATAATCTCACTCACATATGAGTATCTTAAAATTAGAGTGGGCACACATGAAGGTACACAATTATAATTCTTTTACGATCATTCATCATTGAGTATGTTGTATTGTCCCTATTAATGGAGCTCTCTAACTAATTTCTAATAATTGTTGGCAGAATATAACATTTAAAATAGATATATAGAGAAAAAAAGAAGAGAAATTTTCTATTGAACTTATATCATACTTCGTATATACTACTTCCTTAATTTTTATTTTAAGGATTTTTATGGTCAATGTGTAAAATTTTGACTATAAAAATACACTATTATTAAGATTAAAATCATATCTATGGGAAGTTGATAGATTCATCTTGAAATGAATTTTCAAAAATATCAATTATATATTTATAATTTTTACACATATTTAATTGAACATATTCGTAGTTAAAGAAGTGTTTTGGAGATCGTGAAAGTCAAAAGATAACAAATAAAAAAAATAGAGAAATTATAAATCAAATAAAATCATTTTTTGTGAGATTTTACCCAAGTGATATCCTAAGTTTTACCATAACAATTTTTTAGGATGCTCATCCGGTTCACCAGAGCTTAGATCCAACTACATTCGGATCTGACTCGAGTCGCACACCTGGCTTATGATGGGTGAGTCTCCCAATCCCAACAAGAGTTTCCGCATACGAGGTCCGAACCCGACACCTTTTTTAAGCGACATCAAGTTGCTTACCACTTGAGCCAACTCTTATTGGTAAGTTTTACTTTAACATTGATTTTCAATAAGGGGAAAATTAGTGGACAATGGAAAGGGTGAATTACTCATATTATATTAAGATAAAGTCAACAAAATTTACTTTTTATTATTATGTTTACAATCACGGGTCTAAATTTTTGCATCTTTAAAAAAATTAAGATTAACTAGAACAAATATTGTCAAAGAAGAGAGTAATGCTAGTCTGCTACTAGTGAGTAGTGCCTACTGGACTGACTAGTGGTACCATTTTGTATTATTATAGATATGAAAAGGCAAGAGTTCACACTAGGCAGTGGAACTCCAACGTAACTTTGTGGACCAAAAATTTGGAGTAGTTGGGAGTTATGACTTATGAATACCGATAAAAAAAAAGTTAGATTTAGATTTTGACATATATATATATATATATATATATATATATATATATATATATATATATATATATATATATATATATAAACACAATAATTTAGTATGAAGTACTCCATATGACTAAACTTTGAAATAGGTCCGATATGACCTCATCGAACCTAACTCAAATTCCCTAATTAACACCTTTACGTTATGATGAACCTAGATTTAATTTCAAACTAGTATTTGGGTCCGGACGATGCCCCGAATCATTACATTTTTTCTTGTAATTAAATTTATTATACATATTAATATTTTGTATCAAAATAGAACATAAAATATCACATAAGTTAGTGATAAGAACTTCAGTTCTAAAATTAAAAGTTGCATGTTCAAACCTTGTGGAGAACTTTTTTTATTATAAGTAATAATGTTAAATACTTTTATTTTAGATTTATTCTAAGAAAATAATTTTTCATGTAAAAGTACAAAGAAAAACACTCTCGTGGTCTACATTAACTATAATTAAGATGAAGAAGTAAACAAAATTATTACATAGCAAAGACAGTAGGACTTATTATTTGTTTTCCAATAGACCCAAGTTCAATTCTCTTAACAAAAAGGTTTTTTAATTGACATGTACCTTTTATATTTCTAATTGGGTCATTTGGGTGATGTGGCATTCTCTTGATGGAAGAGAGGGGTGACACGTGACGTGTATCCTTGATTAAAAACGGCTTTTAATATATATATATAGTATAGATAACCTACAAATATTAAAAATAAAAGTAAAAGACTTTAGTTGGCAAATAAATACTCCAATTAATTAAATAATTAAGTACGAGTATCTTAAATTCCACACTCCCTGGTTTCAAAAAAAAAAAAAAAAATTCCACACTCCCTAAAATTCAAACAAAATCTACTATTGTGGGACCAAAGTTTCCTCTTTCATGGAAAATAACACCACCAAAGTTATATAAATAGAGGCCTTCACTTCTCTAATTTCTACACTTAAAAACACTTGCATTTTTACTTACAGCAATTAATCATCTTTTACTAAAGTAATTAACAAAAAATGGCTCAGGGAAGAGGCAGTGCAAGATCAAGTTTGGTAGCAGGAGTAGCAGTTCTCTGTCTTTTGGCTATTATTCAGCCAAGTCTTGCTGCCTTTTACAATGTTGGAAATGGTGGTGGATGGACCTTTAATGTCAACAATTGGCCTAGAGGCAAGTCCTTTAGAGCCGGTGATGTTCTTGGTAAGATCTCGTCTTTACTCTAACGTTTTTACTCCCTCCGTTCGAATTTAGTTATTTCATTATGATTTATGGATTTTGATTATAATTGTACGTGTATTTATCAACATGTTTATTAATTCTATATGGATTGGAGGAAATATCATTTTCAATATGTCATTGTCATATTTATCATCAATGTACGGAGTTTAATGATTTCTGAATATGATTTCTGAATGTGACGGGTTATATAAGTATAACAACAAAATGCAATTTTTTTAGTATAGTTCTAGTTGATTCATTTTTCTATGGTCAAATTAGAAAATAACACCTGCTAAAGACCCCGATTTTGATAATAACACCTGTTGAAAAAAAAGTTTTATTATAACACCAACAAAAATCCCAAAATTTTGGTTTCACCACCCACTAACGGACATTTGGATGGAAACCGTTAGTGGGGCCCGCTATGTACACGTGTCAGTTGTGTATTGGTATAAAAAAAATTAAAAAAAACAAAAAAACCTAACCCCCTAACCCAACCCGCCCCACCACCGGCACCACCTGCCCCAGCCAAGCCAGCCGCCGGAACCCTCCTAACACCCAGCCAGCCCCAGAAACCTCCTCCCCTAACACCGACAACCCCTTCCCTAACGCCGGCACCGCCCGATATCCCCTCCCCTAACACCAGCACCGCCCTAAACCCCCTCCCCTAGCACCGACAACCCCCAAACCTCCTCCCCTAATACCGGCATTCCCCTAAACAGCCAATTTCGTTCGCCTCCACCGCAAAATTGACACATCTGGGGCTTCTAAGGTCGATTTCGGCCGGTTTGAAGGTGAGGGGTAATTCCAGGGGTGGTTTTCGGCGAGGGGGCGAAGGGGCTAGGTGGTTTTCGCGGGGGGGGCTGTGGTGGGTGGGGGTGATTTTTTCGGGGAGAGGGAAGGGGGAAGGGGATTTGTGGGGGGACTAATGTCGGTGGGGGTGATGGCCGGTGATTCCGCCGGTGAAGGAAGGGTTTCCGGCGGTAGTGGGGGTCTCCGGCGGTGGAGTGACGGCCGCCGGTGGTGGCTCTGGTGGCTGGGTCAGGGTTTAGGGGTTTTTCTTTGAAATTTACTTTTTATTTTTATTTATCATTTTTTAAAACCAATACCTTATTGACACGTGTACATGGCGGGCCCCACTAACGGTTTCCATCCAAAAGTCCGTTAATGGGTGGTGAAACCAAAATTTTGGGATTTTTGTAGGTGTTATAATAAAACTTTTTTTTCAACAGGTGTTATTATCAAAATCGGGGTCTTTAGCGGGTGTTATTTTCTAATTTGGCCTTTTTCTATTTTCCTAGTGGGTTTTTAGTTTCACAACTTTACAATCAAAAGTAGGCACGGATTTTTATAATTGTTGTTTTGACTTTAAACTCTTGTTTTGACATCACTTGTCCAAAAAGAAAAACCACACTTGTCCAAAAAGAAAAACCAAAAAAAAAAAAAAAAAGTTACCTTTTTCTTTACTTACCTTTAATGCTTAAGCCTTCTTGTTTTTCATGTGAAAAGAAAATAATATACTATTACTAATCCAACCACTAATTATCAAGGTGCATTTAGATCACTTAAAAATAAAAATTTCAAAACTAATCAGGTGTAACTGTATAAGTATAAAGTAAAAATCATAGTTAAGCAGGTCTAATAAGATAAGTACAGTTCATATACATCATATTTTCGTACAAGTATTATTATTTGTTACGTCAATAAAATTTAAAAACTAGTCAGGTGTAAGTATAAACTGAAAATCACAGTCAATCACGTCTAATAAGATAAGTACATTTCAGGTGCATCATTTTATGTCGGTGGATAGACAAAGTTTTTTCTCATAGTACAAGGCGATATATACATAGTACTCCGTATAACACTTGTATTAAAAAATTTGAATGCAGTATTCAATTATGCAAGAAACCTGCACAATGTAGTGCCAGTGAGCAGCAGAGGATTTGCAAGCTGCAGTGCACCACGAGGGGCAAAGGCGTACCAGAGTGGAAAAGACAGAATTAGATTGAAGAAAGGCCTTAATTACTTCATCTGCTCTTTCCCCGGCCATTGCCAGGGTGGAATGAAGATTGCTATTAATACTGCTTAATTTATTATTTACCTCAACTACTACTACTTCTCTTAATTAATGTTTTTCAAATTGTAGGTTTATAATATTTGTATTGAGCTACTAATGTGTGTTGAAAATAAAAGGAAAAAAGGGTGCAAGTGAGGATTATGTTATGATGAGGGAAAAGAGGAAGTAGCTAAGTTAATGTTGTTTTTTTCTTGTGATGTTATTATTTTCTGTTAAGGTGTGCATGTGGTTTTTATAATACCTAGGCGGCTAGGCATGTTCTTAGCTTATGTTAAGAAAGTTTGTTGTGAAGTGTAAGTTTGATAATGGATAAGAAAATTGAGGATTTATATGTGCAAGTATACAAGTATAATATATGTGTGTGTTTTAATTATAACTCTTTCACTGCATTCTTGGATCTTGATATATATATTTGTTTTATAAAAGTATTTTAGTACGTCTTTTGTCCTCAAATTATCTTCTCGTAAATGATGTATTACGGTTTCAAATGTCTAAAACGTCTAGATATTATACTGATGTCTCAAATTGTGGATATTGAACTCGGACCAACAACTTACGCTATTGAGGGAGAAAGGGGTGTTTGGCGGATGTAGAGAGGAGGGAAACAACACTAAAGGAGAGCGTCTTAACCAATTTTGTCGTTATTTACTCATTGTTAGACAAGTGTAATGAGCAAAAAATGAGCAACTATGGTAACAAATTGAACGTTGTATTGTAAATTACAATCGTCGGTCCTATGATAAAGTGTGAAACAAAACATAATTTTTGCCACATCATCACTTTCTTTTTAAATCTTTCCCGGAAAATTACATTGGGGCAAATTTATACCATAGATAAAACAAAAGGGAACTTAATGTCTACAATTGCATGAAAGTCAATTTCACAATCACCAAAAGTAGTGGCAGATCTTGGTCCAAAATATTAGAGGAGCCAGGATATAGATATTTTACCTCTCGCTCAAAACTAATCACTGTTATGTCCTAATATTTATAAGTAGAATAAGGTTATTTAAGTTTATACCTAATTAATTACAATAATTTTACCGAGGGTCGGGCCCCAAATGACCCCAGTGAAAGGTCCTCCTCTGACCAAGAGTCAAGGGTGGTTTGTTATCCACTTTCATCATTATGAAAGATTTTGTTAAATTTTGATTTCTTTTGATAATCTTGTCCTCGATAATTGAATCAATATGAAAATTACTCGTATGCATTTGGCATAAATGCATAAAACTTCAAACTGTTGAGCAGCTTGAGCCTAGGTTACCCACTTTGTCTGCTTTAAACCTAACTCACACGAATTTAATTATTTTTAGGCTTCTTTCCAAAGGACCTCATCTAAGTGAAATAGGTGGACACTTATAAATTAGCCATCATTGCACCACTAAAAAAAAAAAAAAAAAAAATTAAATCAAGGAGTAATAACAGAATTAGTCACACTATCCTAATTGTCACATCTGATTCACATAATACAAGGAGTAATAAAGTTAATGGATATCTAATCTAGATCCTTAATTAAGGGATTTCAAGGCAATTATAGCAAAATTAAATCAATTGAACCTATGAAAAGGACGTGATCTGAGTCAAATCTGTACCCTAAAACACGGTAAGTTTACGACTATTACGCCGTTGTATATGCTGCATGCTCCTATCTATTTTCAAGGACAAGTTTACGTAGAGAAAATATAATGCTAATAATTTTTACTTTGTTTTTTTTTTTTGGAAAGTTGATACTTTGTTAATAATTGAGTAAAAAAAAAATAATTGAGTGTATTATTTAATTTGAAAATCTATTTTTTTTTTTTTTAATTCAAAGGGTGAACTAGGTGGAACAAAAATAATAAATAAAAGTAAAAAAAAAAAAAATGAATGGATCCTTTTGTTTTATGATACCTCAGTTTTGAAGTCACCCATTTGAGTTGCATGCTTGACTGCTGGAGCCTAATGAATGAAGCTAAGCGCCTAAGCATGATGCTAGGACAAAACAACACGGTTCATTAAACACATAACAACAAATGAGGAAATACACGATCGATGAGGTGGTCTTAGAATTAGTGGCTAAGACTAAATACTTATGTATGACAGTCAGAAGCTCAAATTTTATTCCACTCTATTTGTAATTTGTATTGTCTTTAAAATTTATTGGACAATTTAAATTAATACTCTCTCCTAATTTTTAAAGCATCTATTTTTATTTGTCAATGATTTATATTCGTATACGAGAAATAGTGTTGGCACTTATTAGAATCGTCTCAATTTATAGTTTTCGAATATCAATTTCTTATAATTAATATTTATTGATAATTAATTAAAGATATTATTAGTCAAAGTTCAACAACCTATATTGACATACTTGTCTAGACAAATTGGGACACTTAAAAAACAGAGGAAGTATTTAAATAGAAAATAATACAAAAAATTAAGGGGCACAATATAAGCTTTGCAAATACAACTCGATGCTGATGTCAGCTTCACATCATCAATTTTTTAATAAGTCAGTACCTCCTCCATGGCTCCATCTCCAAATCAAAGTTCCATTTTTCTTTTACATACGTTTTGCATAATGATTGATTTGTGACATGCTAAGATTTACATATATTAATCGTTTGGCAACATTCTTAAATCATGGTTAAACTTCTAGTAATAACCACAAAAATTTAGAAGGCCAATTAATTAGGAGAGATTGTGTAGATTTTTAATTTTATATGGGGTGTCATGCATGCATAATGGCATGTGAGGTTTAATTTACCTTTTAATTTGCGTGAGAACAAATGAGAAAGTATTGTGTTATTAATGTGTATAAGTTGGATTTGTGAAAGAAATACTAGGATATTGGGAGGAGGTTTGAATTATATTAAAATTAATGCAATATGAGTAATTTGTATAACGCACGGGTTTAACAACTACTGACCTGATAGGCTGATATCGATTAATATTTAGCTAAATTGCATTCCGTCTCACTACAAGATTAAAAGTAATGGTGGGACGCATTCCAACTCTCTCTAAAAAACTCAATATGATTAGTGATTACTATATTTGACGCTATAATGTATCTCCAACAACAAATAAAGATTTCTGACGCAGGACACTTTTTACAACTTTAGAAAAGTTTAGTTTGGTGGTTGTGTAGATGGAAGTATGCAACTATGCAATGAAGTGGTAGCGGTAGGTAAGAATGAGCTTTAATGAGAAGAGGGAGCCTAAATATGGGAATTCTAAGGCAGTCCTTACTAAAACAGTTTCACCATTGAAATACATGCTTCTCCATTAAAGCTCTTCTGCTTTGCTAAAACAGTTTCTCCATTTATTAGACAATTTTACAATTTTAACCCAATTTATTGACTAAAATGACAAATTTACCCCTTTGAGATACATAATATGTTTCTCATGTCGAGAAACTTGAATTTTCTCTATACTATCACACTACTCAATACAATATACACATTATTACTATTTGAAGTCTAATATGGAGCACTATATTTCACAATGGAGGACTAGCTAGCACTTAATGGAGTTGGTAAAGCTCTAAAGGACAGAAGTTATATTAGTTACAAAGGCCACTTGCTTTAGACTTTTTTGCTTTGATCATAAAAGTTACATATGTTAATATGTTTAAAGCTTTTTTTTTTTTTTTTTTTTTTTTTTTTTATAATCATATGTTTATAGCTTGAAATGCTATGTTATGCCTCGAAAGAATGTTTACATGCCCACATTTTCAAATAGAAACGATAAAATAATAAAGCCTTTAATGAGTGGTCGATAAAGAATAGGTTCAGTAAGTGATTGAGTGAATGAACTCGATTGTGGATTTTGAATTAATTACTAGGTATCGATATAAATTATTAGCATTCTATAGGACAGGAAATTACAAACCAAAATTTGTTTGGTTTAATTAGTAGTTAGATTTAATTTGTTTGAAATAAAGGTAATTAATCACCTACCCTATATTTGGACTTATAACCATTGCACCAATTTCTAACTAGATATTGTCTTATTTTGTTGGGGAAAACCAAAATTTACCCCGAAATATGTCAAAAAAAAAATATATATGATGAAGAAAAAATATCCATGGAAAACCTTTAATATATAATATAGGTCATCACTAAAATAATCTCACTTGATAGCAAGGAAGTATTCGTGACTATTTTGAGTTGTTTTAGAAAACTACATATAAGCTAAGTGATGAATTGTAATTTTTAAAATGACCTAAAACACATTGTTTTCCGTATATCATTATTTTTGTGGGAAAAAAAGTATTATGAACTAGTTGGTGTAAACTCTAGATCAACACACTATGTTGGGTCTATCACTACGTCCTCCCACTAATAAGCTAGCCCTATAAATAGTATTCCTTCACTTCTAACACATCACTCCAATATAGCTCATATATAATTTCTTCTCTCTCTTTCTTTCTAGTCTTTATATTATTTTGGTAAGTTAGGTGTGTTACATTTTGCTTAGAAATGGGTCAGGGAAGTGGCAGTGTAAGACTAAGTATGGTCTTTGTAGTTGGCATATTATGTTTCTTGACTCTAACCAAGCCTACATTTGGAGCTATTTATACAGTAGGAGGAGCTGGTGGATGGACCTTTAATGTCAATACTTGGACTAATGGCAAGTCCTTCAAAGCTGGTGATGTCTTAGGTTCGTTCACTTTACTTATACATATGTCGCTTTTATTACCACATCTTTGGGATTAAAATTTCGATTAGCTTAACCTCACACGTGAGTTATTACAAAGCATCCTGTTATATATTATAACTATAATACATTTATACTACGTAATTTTTTTTAATTTCTTTAACACGTATACTTTTATATAGTAATTTACAGTTTCTGACACCCCATGAACATAATATTGACACTCTATCTTCAAAATTATAGATCTACCTCTACCTACAATATGTGTTACCTTAACACATCAATAATCGATTTACTTTTCATTATTGTGTTTCTAGCTATATGTTTGTCAATCATTTAGATAATTATAAAAAAAAATTAATAAATAAATAAATAAAATAAAAAACAACTTTTCAGCTCAATATATAAATATAACGGGTATTGAATTACATTACCTACTTTAAATTATAGAGGCTCATTAAAGCATACATTATTATACAATTCTAGCTAGGACCGCAAAAGGTTAATACTCATAATATATAATAGTTTATATGAAACATATTCTTACATATATTAAATAAGAGAAACATGCATAAATTAAATTCAAAAGGATTGCATGTCTAGAATTCAAGATTAAGTTATATTACTTGCATAGTTCATTGCATGGTTAAATATTTTTACTACTCCGTATTATTCATGTTTGTTTAATTTCATGTAAATAGTGCCTAACTGCTTATTAAAAGAAATTATGAATGTTGATTAAGTTAACCTATATTAATTTGAACATAATGATGATGTTATTTTATTTTTTGGCAGCATTCAATTATGATAAAACAACACACAATGTGGTATCAGTAAATAAAAGGGATTATGATAGCTGCACTTCACCAAAAGGAGCAAAAGTTTACCAAACTGGAAAGGATAGAATCAAGTTAGCCAAAGGTCAAAATTACTTCATCTGCTCTCTTCCTGGCCATTGCCCAGCTGGAGTCAAGATTGCTATTAGTGCAGCTTAACTATCTGGCCAAATCTCGCTTTCTTGCTATGCAGAATTATATGATAGTTGTCACGTTGACAGTGTATCAGTGTATCTTAAACTATTAATCATTGTGTAAGACGATAAAATCTAAATGAAAGTGTACTACTACGTGTTTGATTTCTAATTATGTTTTGAATTAACTATGTATTTGTGAGGAGGGTGTGTCTATCGTAGGGAATCCTTCTCCTCTATGCCCATGACCCTTTAAAAGCCTAGAATTTTACACTTTTTTAAGGTGTGTTAGGATTTGAATTCCTGATTGTTTGGCGGACCTTGAATTAGAATTGATTCTATCATTACGTTTTTTTGTAAGGAACTAATAGGGAGTCGTCAATGAGTTTTAGGAAAACTCATAAACCCCGTTCGTGCTTTTCTCCCAAGTAGAGTTCAAGGGATATTTAGCATTAATCATAAGTTTACCAATGCCCAAATTGGTCTACTTGTACCAGAAATGAGTTTGGGAGCGAGGGTACTAAAATAATGTTTCCTTTAGGGAGGAATCGCTATCCTAGCCCAAGTGCGGCCTCTACTAGCTCTTCCTTTTTCACATTTTGATCACCAAACAATAAATGCAACGTGATTCCTAAAAACTAAGTTAGTTGATTTTATTTACAAACATTATTAATCACAAAAAGTCTACATTGCAACGAATGTCGTTATTCTTATTTTTTTTTTAATCAAGTTCATGAAAGGAACAAGAAATAAACAATATTCGCCTTCACTTAAGTGATAAAACAACAATTAATTATTCAATTCTAGTCTTTAATTAACGCAAGAATATTATGTGAAATTAATTAATTAATTAAAGTTTATTTAAAGTGATCAATCAACACTAATTAATCAATTAAATTTATTTAAACAAGAAAAGAAAAGCGATTTATCTAAGTGCTAAGGAAACTAACATTCTCCTTTGTTTGCTAGATCTTTGTTTTGGATGTTTATGGACCTTCCTTCTTCTTCGTACCTCCAAGGCTTCAATAGAATAAATTAGAGGTTGGAGAGTACTTGAGAATAGGGGAAAAGTAGTATGATAGTAAGAGAGTATGAGAGATTAGGGATTTCAGAGTTTAGGGTTTTTAATTCTGAATTTTCTGTTGTGATTAGGGCTAACGAAGACCCCTATTTATAGGCGTAGGAATCTTGGTTTAAGGTTTTAGAGCCGCGGCGTCAGGTGGCGCGCGCAACTCTCAAAGTCGCGCTGGAGTGCCGAGTGCAACTCTAAAGACTTGCGCACGGTGCGGTTTGCCTTACACGAAAACACGTCTTTAAAACTTCCATAACTTTTGATTGCGAAGTCGGATTAAGGCAAATAAGATATCATTAGAAAATTATGAATGTCTACTTTCCAATGCCGTTAAAATTAGGTTAAAATATGTTATGGATCTAAAGTATGACCGTTTGAGTGCAAGGGAGTCGGTTTTAGGGCCCGGTTTAGTATTTTGATGATAACTTCTTCGTTTTAACTCGGAATTGGGCTTATAATATACCGTTGGAAAGCTCTTTGGAAGATCTATCCATCTGTATGGGCCTTGAACGGAGATTTGGTGGTTAAATATTCTGGTTGGCTAGATTTTCAACAATGTAAGATCCATTGGATCCAATCATTGCATTTGACGCATTTAGGTCCGTTGATAATTAAGATTAAACATGTATGAGCACGTTTTAGGCCTAATTAGTAATCGGACTAGGCTATAAGATAATTTGGTAAAAAATATAGGTTCTAACTTACTTCATAATGCATTTCAGAGTCCATAAACACTTCAACTTTGATCTAGCATGAAGAACGAGTTTTTGTAACATCATCGCATTTCTCGTCGCGACAAGAGGCCAAAAGTAGGTGTCTACAGTTAGCCCCTACTTTGATGAGTCTAGAATAGACGAAGATCAAAGTAGTCAAGGAAATAAATCCGAGACTTATTCTGCAAAGTTCTTTAAAATAAAGAATCTTTCAATAATGTTGAGAATGTCGAAACTATTCTTGATTCGCTAAATGTTCAAGACAAGTAGCTGCTAAGACCAGAAAAGGTTTTTCTGGTTTTAGTGCGCTAAAGAATCTAGATTGACCCTCTGCTAGCATAGAACGCTTTTACAAGTAAAGATTGTCCTGGGTGATGTCATGTTATGAGAAGGCACCTGGTTTAAAAAGAGTAAAGAGGATGATACCCTCTCAATATGTCATCGGCGGTCTAAAGTCCCTCGATATGTCATTGAAATTTAGTCCATAATCTTAACGTTGTTGCACCTATTGCACACACAACTTACCTTGTTGCACACACAACTAACATGCTTTTATCCTATCAACACATAACTTACCTTGTTGCACTTGTTACAAGCATACAACATACCATCCATACAACCAACCAATAAATAAATGATTGCTTTTATTTAATTTGATTACGCATCGAACGGGTTTCCCACCAAATTCCTGCCCCAAATAAATTGAGGTACACTATATCGGGAGCTAACCGGGTAGGCAAATGCCACATGAAAGTGACTTGACGTCCTGCGCATAAAATAAATAAAGGAAAATACAGCGTCCTGTACTCCCAATAGATGCTATGGTTAATTATAAAACCCCATAACTCCCCCCATATGTTCATACTCAAGGTATATACGTTCCAAGAGGTTTGGTGCGTAATCTCTTTCACTTTATGTTGTTTACATATTTTAGACTTGGTGATGACTCTCAAACCATAACACAATCAATCATAATAAATCATTCAAGCAATCTAACATACCGATTTAATTCTTGAATAATTAGTGACCACATAAATTTAATGCTGAACCCTTTTTAAACTATCTCGGCGTTAAATAACACCTTAAGCACATAAAGCACCGCAAATCCTATCCCTTGGTGTTTAGAACACCTTTAGTGCACTAGGCACCGCAATATATTTTATTCCTGTGTACTAAGACACTTAATAGCTCAATTCCCATGCTTAAAGCATAAATAAAAATTATATGAACCATCATAAAATTCCCTTTTTATATTCCAAACCAAATTAAACATTTAGTTTAATTAAACATGCTCTCAATCATGCCAATAATATAAGTGTTGTTCATATTCAACATGCCAACATAATTAATTCCAATCATTTATTCACCTCAAATAATCCATACTTCACAAATCAATCACCAACATCAATTCAATCAACAATTCCAACCAATACCTATCATGATACTACCTTGAAATTAATAAAATAAAGCCTAGCATGCTACTACACACTTAAATAAATATCGAGTACTACATCATAAAATCATCACATAACCCAAAAACAATAATTAAATCAAGGCTAGATTAAATTAAAACAAAGAAGTTTTTTGTTTGTTTGTTTGTTTGTTGGTTGGTTTGTTTGTTAAAGGTTGCGCATGCACACCACCACGGCAGGGCTGCTGTCGCGCGTCCGCCGGTGCTGCTACAGTCGGTGCTTGCTGGTGGCAGTGGCCGGCCAGTGAGTGGCTATGGTGGTGGCCGGCCACTCGTGGGTGGCGTGTGTGGTGTGTGGCGTGGAGGTGAGAAAATAAAAGGGGAGGGGGAAAATTAAGGGGAAAGAAAAATAAGAGGAGAGAGATATATTTTACCTTTGGGTATTCTTCACCTTGGACAGAGTTTAATTTGCTCATATGATGGGTATATACCTTCTCTCAAAACCCTCCTAACTTAAATTCCTTTTCTACCCTTAATGATTGCTACTCTTATTCAAAATGACATTTTGACTTTCTTTAAAACTCCATTGACTTTAAAATTTCCTTTTATAAAATAGTTATGCCCCAAAGTTTTTAAATAATAAAATAAAATATTTCCAAAGTAATTAAATAAATAAAAATTGACCTTTAATTAAAATAAACCTTTTTAAATTAATAAAATACCATAAATAATTTATTTCAAATTATTTAAATACTTCATAAAATAATATTTTAAAGTAATATACATATAAAAATACGGTGTATTACAGTAAAGGAGGCCAAAAATAGGCATCTACAGTATTATTGTTTTTTATCGTCTTATATCCTCGGGTTGTACTACAAATTAGGATCTATAATTAAATCCTTACATGGGCTTTAATATGGTACCATGCTATATATTTTTTAGCTTTGGAGAATAATTATGTTATGTATCTTGCATGACTGCTGGCGGTTGTGTTTATTATATTGCCAAATATGCTTGGGAAACTACTTTCATATTCATGCACTACACAATTTAATTTTATAAACCAACTACAATAAACATCTCAATCCGACAATCTTAATCATAATATATCAACTACTGTCCAACAAAGCACAACAAAATCCCCTAAATCCTAAAAATACCACAATAGAACCAACTTTGAACATTAAAACGAGCATTATATGTTAAGAAATTTGACAAATTGTTTTAATAAAATGATTTCCAGCACTTTCCTATTTGCTATGATATAATATATTCATCTTGATCATCAAAGGCCTACTTAAAGTCGTTTTGTCGATTTTGATGAATACAAAATTATATGGATTCATTTAAGGAAAATTAGTTAGTCATTGGGAAAGTTTTTTTTCAATAAGAGCATACTGAATTGAATTGAAAGTAATAAATTAAGGCGTTTAAAAAAGTAAAATCTACATTATTTGAGATTAGTCTATGTATTGGTGGTGTATTGTGGTATTGGATCATTGATAGAAATATAGTTATGTTACTTATGTAGCGACAATTTTCAATCTCAATATTTTGAGATGGATCACAAGGAGTTCATCCTTACATATAACTAATCAGTACAATATTGAAAAGATAATATATTCTAGCAATATACTATGTATATATGCAGGAAATATCAAAGAGTGTTACATTTTCAACGGACATAACTTTAATGAATGATACTTTTAATTTATTTGATGAAAGACACGAAGTACCACAATAGTTCATTTTTGGTCAACAAATGGTTAAAAATATAATGGCACATTTAAGGCCTACATGGCTACATGTGATAAATTTGGGCTATTAGAATAGTGATCAGTTTGGGCTACTTATCGTTACCACCTGTTCAATTCAAGCCTAATTATAATTTGTTTGGACAACTTTTGATCAATGTGGATCAATTTTGGGTTTATTTTGGTCAGTTCTAAGACTTAAAGATATCAGTTTGGGTC